TGTTTCATTCTGCAAGGCACACAGCCAACAGCACTTTGAGATGACCCAGTGAGTCTATAAAAGGGTAGGTGACAGTGTGCGCAAGGGGGTTTAGAAATACCAGCGAGTTCACCGGTAAAACATTTAAAAACAGAGTGAATTTGAAATGTTGTGACTTGGGTCTGGGCCTTGGGCTGAGCAGTCAAGCCGAGAAATGGTGGTGTACTTTCCTCAGGGGAAAGATGATAGGCTGAGGAGAGTGATGATTGACAGCTGAAAATATGACTTGGTTCGACTGTGGGATTACTTTCTCCATTCATTGAAAACATTCCCATTTCTTCACTTTTTTGAGAGTTGTCTTTAGACGCACAAGGCCTGTCTGTGACGTATCTTTGAGAATTAATGACCTACTGTGAGCTCAAAGTAAAGCTTTATTATACGGTAATATAAAATAAGAAGGTAAAGATGATTAAGCTGCCCCAGGGCATACACTGATGTTACTTTTTGAAATAGGACTGGATTTCAACTTATTTTTTCTTTTTTATTGCCTCTCATAAAACCTTACTTGAAAATGAGTCAAGATTTCCGGTTAATCAAATCTTCCAATATATACCACATTAAATGTTTTGGAGACTCTAGGTTACAGAATATTCTTTTTTCTTGTACAACCAAAGTTTTGGACTCGTTCACTAATACAACCTCATGGACCCCTTCTCCCAGATCCTGCCAACCACCGTTCTACTCTCTGCTTCTATGACTTTGAATATTTCAGATGTCTCATGTAAGTGATATGTAGTATTTGTCCTCCAGTTTCACCCATGTTATCTCAAATGGTAAGATTTCCTTCTTTTTAAAGTCTGACTAGTATTTCAATGCATCACATTTTGTTTATCTGCGCAGGGACATTTAGATTGTGAATAATGCTGCAATGAACATGGGAGTGCAGAAAGCTCTACAAGATCTGATTTCCATTCCTTCAGATATATAACCATAAGAGTGATTGCTGGATCATATGGTAGCTCTATTTTTAACTTCTTGAGGAGTTTCCATACTGTTTTCCACAGTGGCTGCACCAACTTATTTCCCTACCAACGGTGACAAGGGTTTTCTTTTTTCCACATTCTTGCCAACACTTGCTAACTGTTGACACCATTCTACAGGTATGAGGTGATATCTCATTGTAGTTTTTAATTTTTTTAAAGATTTTATTTATTTATTTGAGAGAGAGAGAGAACAAGCAGGGGGGAGGGATAGAGGGAGAGTGAGAAGCAGGCTCTCCGCTAAGCAGGGAGCCCAATGTGGGGCTCCATCCCAGGACCCTGGGATCATGACCTGAGCTGAAGACAGACACTTAACCAACTGAGCCACCCAGGCACCCCCTCATTTGTAGTTTTGACTTGCATTTCCCAAATGATTAGTGATATTGAGCACCTTTTCATGTACCTGGGGGTCCTCTATATGCCCTCTTTGTAGAAAAGTCTACTTTCTTTGCTTATTTTTAAATCAGGTAATTATTTGTGTTTGTTGCTATTTTTTTAATCAAATCGTATGAGTTCCTTTATATAGTTTGTATATTAACCCCTTATCAGACGTATAGTTTGTAAATATTTTCTCCCATTCTGTAGATTGCCTTTTCATTCTGTGAATTATTTCCTTTGCTGTGCAGAAGCTTTTCAGTTTGACGCAATCCCATTTGTCTATTTCTGCATTTGTCACCTGTGTCTTAGTGTCATAGCCAAGAAATCATTACCAAGGCCAACATCAAGAAGTTTTTTCCCTGTGTTTTATTCAAGGAATTTTATGGTTTCAGGTCTTATGTTTAAGTCTCTAGTTTGTTTTGAGTTGATCTTTTAAAAAAGATTTATTTATTTTAGAGAGAGAGTGCAGGAGCAGGAGGAGGGGCAGAGGGAGAGGGAGAGAGAGATATTTCAAGCAGCCTCCCTGCCGAGGATGGAGCCTGGAGCAGGGCTCGATATTACGACCTTGAGATCATGACCTGAGCCGAGATCAAGAGTTAGACCCTTAACCAACTGAGCCACCCAATTCTGAGTTGATTTTGGTGTAAGAAAAGGGTATGATTTCATTCTCTTGCATGTGAATATCCAGTTTTCCCAACACCATATTGAAATGACTGCCTTTTTCCCATTGTGTATTCTTAGGCCCTTGTCAAAGATCAGTTGAACATTGATTGGCCATATATGCGTGTTTATTTCTGCATTCTCTATTCTGTTCCACGAGTTTATATGTCTGTTTTTTTATGCCAGTACCCTACTGTTTTAATTGCTATAGCTTTGTAATATAGTTTGAAATTAGAATGTATATTGCCTCCTGCTTCATTCTTCTTGCGGGAAAATTGCTTTCATTATTCTTTTGTGGTTCCATATGAATTTTAAGATTTTTTTTCTATTTCTCTAAAAATTGACATTGGGATTTTGATAGGGATTGCACTGAATCTGTAAATCATTTTGGGTAGTCTGGGCATTTTAACATTGCTTCTTCTAATCCACAAACACGGATATCTTTTCATCCGTGACTGCTTAAATTTCTTTCATCAGTGTTATTATAGTTTTTAGTGTATTAAAATTAATATAAAATATTATAGTAATATTTTATAATTCTAAATGCCGACTTATATACATAGTATAAAATTCAAAATATCTTTCTGGTGAACTTAAATTTGTAGTTATAAGAGAAGGACACTAAATTTGCATCAGCATTCCTTGTGATTTTATCATCTGTTAGTGAACCCATGAGCATCCTGGTGCTGTACTTAAAAAAAAAAAAGTTGAAGGGGGAAAATCAGGGTAGCTGCCCTTTCTCTCCCTTTCAGAAGAAATGGAGTGAGCGCCCTGGGCAGCCACCAGATTGGGAGGGTTGGGGGTGCTTTGTTGAGGCATTATGCAATCAGACTAATTTCCTCATACTAATTGTCAACCATCTAGACCCTTCACTCATCCCTGGCCATTAGGGAAATTATGGAGCTTCCAAGAGGACATGCTAAAAGTTAAAGTCAACTGGAGGTATTGCCCTGGTCTTTGGCTTGGCATATTACTTTGGAGTCCATATTTTCTCATTCCCAAACTGTGACATGTGGTTGATAACAGGAGGGACTGTTGAAGTGGGGAACCATCCTGGAAAACCTGTAACTCACTTAAGGTTCAGAAAGTCTTTGCTTCCTTCTGTTATTTATTTATAATATTCTTTTTTTTTTTTTTTTAACCAAAAGTGAAATGAGTCAACACTAACCAGGTAATTTGTATCAATACCTGTGTAGTTTTTCTTTGGAAGAATAGGGGTTGTGGAGAAGTCCAAGAATAGAAAATGCTAAAACCCAAATATCACAGAATACATGTGTTCAAAAATCATCTTTATCTTTGATGGGGGATGGGACGTAAGATCTGAGAAATACCAAGGTCTCCGGATAAGGTGACAAAGGGACTCTATTCTTGGTTTACATGGGATACATGGCAAATCTACTGAATAATATTATTGGCACTTTAATCTGCGTGTGAGAGAGAACCAGAAGCTGGACTAAGTATGGGTTCAGCCTTCCTATAGTCTGGATCCAAATTTTATCTCTATTACTGTTTGACCTGGGCCTGGTTACATAACCTTTGCATGCCTGTATTTTTGAATCCCTAAAGCGGGGGTTAATAATAGTACTTGCCTCACAAAGTAAGAATTTTAGGAGAGGCATATAAAAGCCTTAGCGTGGAGCCTGATACACAGTAAGTACTCAGTAAATTTTACCTATTAGCGTTAAAGCACTTTAAAGGACAAACATTTCACCTGCAGGCCCTTTTAACGGGGCAAGCATCGTATAGAGGGGCGACAATTGCAGGGACTCAGTCTCTAAGGAGTGGAGCTGGAGAAAATGCATTTTGTACAACGCCTACCAGGAACGGTACAGACCATGGCTGGAGGGCAAGGTGAGCCCTGTGTGCCTGTTTGGGGGGTAAAGGGAATGTACCACGGGACTCTCCTCCCTCCAGGGCACGCTCATGCTCCCATACGATTACTAAAGGGCTTTCCAAGTTCTCAGCTGGTCCTCTACATAAAGGCTGAGCAAACATTTAAAGGATATCGGTTTGAGCCAAAGTATTAGCCTGCCCTTGGCAACTACACGTGGGGCAGGCCGGGCTCACACAACAGATGCCTGTGTCGCGCCTGTGTGCAGGCATCGTTCTCAGGTTTTCGTGCATCAGCTCACTCAAAGGCATCGCGGCCCTGGGAAGTAGGTGCCCTTCACATCCCCTTTCTCAGGAGCCTGCCAAGGTCAGGCAGCCGGCGACGGATGGGGCCAGACCCGACCACGCGCGCGGCGGCCCACAGCCTGCGCCTTGCGCCCACCTCGCCGGGCGGGGAAGGGGCCCCGGGAATCCGCACCTGCAGCCGCGCGAGGACGGCTGTGGGCGCGGGGCGCGAAGGGCAGGCTATCCCGGGCAACCCCTGCGCGCGGAAGCGCAGTCCTTAGCCGGAACGTTCTGGAACTCCCCTGCGCAACCATGGGCGGGGAAAGCCCAGGTCCGGCCGCGACCCCACCCGGAAGAGCGTAGCCGCCTTAGAAGGTTCCCCGCGCCGACAAGTCGCGGGCGAGGGGCGCGCGCACGGACAAGACCGCACTGTTTAGCGCACGCGCACACGAGGGCACACGCTCGCCCGCCGCCCAGAATGAGACGGAGGCATGGAAAGTTCCAGCTGGTTCGCGAACCGTAGGTAGCTGGAGCGGCGGCGGCAGGGTCGGAGGCGGAGGGCGGCCCGCGCTGGCCCCTCCTGGCCGAGCCCGCGGCGCCACCCCCGCGCAGCGGCTGCGGGGCCAGGGGTCCCGGCGGGGGCGGCGCGCCTGGGGGAAAGGGACTGTCGAGGGGGCGCGGCGCGGCCGCCTTAAGAGGGAGCGGGGCGTGGCGCGCGGGAGGCGGGGCGCGCCGGGGGGGCGTGGCGGGCCGTCTGCGCAGCTGCCAGAGCCTTAAAGCCCGGGCTCGCTCGGCCGGAGCGTGCTTTCGCCGACCAGGAGCCTTCAGGCCCAGCAGTCCGTCAGGCCCCCGCGGTCCCCGCCCCTCCTGCGTCCCGGGAGCTGGCTCGGTCCGGAGCCGCGCGCGGTGCGACCGGGCATGCCCCGCTACGAGCTGGCTTTGATCCTGAAAGCCATGCAGCGGGTAAGTGACCTTCCCCCCAGAGCCCGCCTTCCCGCGCGGGCGCTCCTCACTCCCAGCCGCTAGGCCGTCGCCCCCCGCCCTCCCCGCGCGGCCGGGGCGGGCAGGCCGGGGCCGCGGGCGGGCGGCGGGCGTCCGCGCTGAGGGGGCGCGCGTGGGCCGGCCGGCGCGGCGAGGCCGCGTGCGCGCGGGAGGCGGGGGTGTGCCCGCGCGGGAGCGCGGCCGCGGGAGGGTGTGCCTCGCACGCGGCCGGCCGGCGGGGCGGGCGGGGGGCGGGGCGGCCGCGGGAGTCTCTGGAAGGTCCGCGGGAGGACACGCGCGAGCGCCCGGCCCCGCGCCTGCCGTAGCGAAGCTGCCTCGTCGCCGGCCCCGCCGCCGCCGCCGCCGCCGCCGCCGCCGCCGCCCGCTCCGCCTCCACACTAGCGCCCGCCGGCCGCCCCGGAGCCGTCCGCGCTCAATAAAACGTTCTCCGCAGCGTGTTTGTGCAGTTTTCTGGACCACGGGCGTTTATAACCGATCTCACGTTAAAAAAAATCTTTGACTTCTCTTTTTCTGACTTCAGCGACAATCCTGCTCCGGGTGCCCTTAGCCCAGTTTCATTCATCCAAGTTGTGGCCTTTTTTGCGCCTTCCGGAAGAAACTTGTCTCTCCCCCGCTTTTGATTGATCTTGAGGTAGGGGATTTCAGGTTTGGAGGGATGCTAAGCGAACCTGCAGCCCGTTCGTTGCAAGTGATGGTGGCCGAGGACAGGGCCCCGCGGCCCGGAGGCAGCTCTTCGTCCTCTGTTCTGGGTCAGGTACTCCACAAGCCTTCGCCGAAATCCCCATTCTTCCCGTGAATTCGGTAACGTAGAGTGTGGTGTGTGCTTCCCCTCCCCTCCCTCCCCCGCCCAGGTATGATTAAAAAAAAAATAACTCCACCATGTCTGAACTTTGCAAAGCAGAACTTTCTGCGGCGCTAGAATCACGGTTTGGGTCAATTTGGAGGAGTAGCTATTCAGTGAAGTTTGGTTGAACTTAAATTTAAGCCTGGGATCCCGGACCTGCCTCTACAGAAAAACTGGCGAGCACGGAGCGTTAGGAAAGGGCTAGAGTCACCACACACTACAAAGTGGGAGAGGACACTAGTGTCTCTTGATAAGCTCTAGAGAGGCTGGTCAGGCGTGCCATTGTGTCCCCAAGCTTGTTCTCCCAGAATTTGGGAGAAGATAAGGTTGTACTGTTTAGCCTCTGGAGTATTCCCCCTTTCTGGCTCTTCTCCCTCCACTCTGAGATATTACTGCTTAGGGAGAATAGGAACAAGGAAAAACCAGAAGCACATTATTAAAAAGGAAACCTTTTTAATTCTGTAGAAATTGGTTAAGCCCTCCCTTTAACCTGTGCTTTTTAGGCAATACCATAGAGCCTGGGAAATGTGGTTATTGAAATTTATTTTACCTTGTTTTAGGGATGAAAGGGGTAGCATTAGTCAGAGTATAGGCATAGTATTTGTTTATTCCATAAACCTTTGAGATGAAGAGTTCACACTCTTTGTTTTTAGCCTAGCTGCCAAGTACATTGGTTAGTTAACAGGGCTCTAGGCAGATTAGTTTAAGTGTATTTGCTTTATCATGTTACTTGTATTTCTTTGTATCCTGTTTTTTGTATGCCTCTGTATGTGGCGGAAACATTTTTTACTTTAGTTCAGGTAAGACACACATAGTGCAGTTTGGTGCAAATGATAATTCAGTGCTTTCCTTGGAATCCCTGTGAGGAGGGGGCAACCCATTAGCAGATAATCAAGGTGAACTCCTCCTTGGAGAAGGAGGCCTCCTTGGGTACAGATAAGACATTGTAACAATGGTGAAGTTGTGTGGAAGAGTTCTTGACCTGAATAAAGTCAGATTAAACAACAGCAAAAACTTATCTCTCTTTTATTTTTTTGTTCATAAAACTAGTTTTGGAGTAGGTTGTAACTGTCTAACAAACAGACTTTCTGGTTTTGAACAATTTTGCTTTCAACTTAGGAAAATTGGATTCTAAAATAGGATCAATACTTGGGGGAAAAATGAATGAAAAAGTTCACATTAGGTTTATGTGATTGCAGAATCCCACTTGTGAGCTCCTACACCTTTGGCAGGCTTGGGGAACCCCAGTTCTAGTCTGTAGCAGTTTGTTTCGTCTGCAGGAGGCGTGTAGTGACGCCTCAATTCTGAGTGGCATGTTTTTCATATTTTTAGATCATAAAGTGTACACCCCTTTAAAGGGATGGTTTAACCCCCAACCAATCACTGATGTGTCTTGGAATTGAGGAAATGGGCTTATGTTGACAACTCTTAGAGCAGACATGGAAGTTGGAACTGATGGGAGTTTTTCCAGCATTTTTGGTTTGGATTCCCAGAGGTGTCTTCCTTTGTGCTTCTTTTTCGTAGTGGCTCTAGAAGCCTGAAGAGCATTCCTGGTCTCTTTGGAGTGTGTTACTCCCTTCTCCCAATTTTATTTCCTTTGACCCCTAGCTGGGCTCCTTAAAAAGGAGCATGCAAGAATTTTTAAATTGAAGATGCAGAAACTGTATTGAGGCTATCAGCATGTCTTATCTGGAGACCCCTTGTGCTTTGTAGCACAGTCACCTGTGGGGGTTCCTGTTGAAAGGTTTCAGGGTGTAGTATACAGAGTGAGTCTTTCTTGAACTGTACAATTTTGTGTTGATTAGTCACTTGAATTTCCAGTGCTATGTTTTTCTCAGTTTGCAACTGGGAATTAAATGAGTCTGCTTTTGTCGCATTTCCAAGTTTATGCATTTCTGAATGTAGTTACCAGTCCTCCCAAGAAGAAATTTATTTGCAGGTGCCATTTAGCTGCAGTTTTGTTTTAGTGTGTGTATTTCAAAAAGTTGTCTCATTTTTGTTTCTCCTCAACTTTTAATTTAGTATGAAAAGTAGGTAAAAGTGTGGCTAAATTCTGAAATTGGACATGGTAAAGTAATGGATGTTGTGAAACTAGGCCTTCAGAGGTGATGACTAAAGCCATTTGAAAAGGTTGTTGCTTAGACCAGTCTTAGACCATATTTATAGAAGGGTCTCCAGAATAAAAAGATTTGAGTCGTGTTACACCTATGTCAGATAATATCAGAGGAGTTTTTTAACAACTGAAAAAGAAACTAAAGTGCCTGTGAGGAGAGTTCTCTGTTTACCTCCACCTTGTCCCCTTGCAGTGGGAACATTCAAGTAGAAGAGGGGTCATGCATTGGTGGTTAAGGTCTGACACTGATTTCTGAGGACCCTTCTCTGGAGAGTCTGAGGAAGTGGCTGATGTCCCTTCATTTCACCTTGAAATTAGATTTTAAAGATTGGTACTTAATTTCAGTTAGGCAGAAGACAGAACTGCCAATACACGAATGATAAAGCCACATACTGTGTAGAGAAGCCTAGGAAAAGCTGTGTAAACTGTATAAAATTTTTACTCTTAGGATGGGTTCAGGAAGAGGAATTTTGAGGTGAAAAAAAGATCTATGCAGAACATTTATATTCTGTGGTTACTTAGTTTAGGAACTTTTTAAGTTTAGGAACATTTTAATTACCATGTCTTAGTATGTTTGCCCAGAGTTGGCATATTTAGAGTTGTGAAAGCTCTGGGCAAATATTTTTTCCTGAAGTTTCTCAGTTGCTACTCAGGAATTTTTACATGAGGAATTAAAGATTAATGGTTTAAGTCATAACTAGCTTAATTGCTAAATGAATACATATGTGTTTGATAAAATAGCCTTTATATATTTTCTTGTATATTACATTTTCCTAAGAGGAATAAAAGAGCTGATAGTTACTTTGGAAATCTTGAGTTCTTTTTCATTAAAAGAGTTCACCAGTTACTTTATGTTTAATATTCCTTATTTTAAATTTCATTGAAAAACAATATGTTTTAAATTTCAAAATCACTCATTGAAATAGTTCTTTGTAGGTAAAGAGTTTTATGTTGTAATCTGAGTTTAATTTATAACCTGGGTTTTGTAAGTTTAGAAATAGAAGTGTAGTGATATTCCAGTTCTTGAAATGTAGAAAGCCGTAGGTTTTCTGACTGTGCAGTGAAGAGTCTTGTATTTTTCTTTACTCAAGCCCTTTTGATTAGGAAGAACTGGCAGAAGTTTTGTATTTGTTCTAGAGTTGTATCCAAGGTAGGATCTTCTGAAAGTAATGCCTACAAAATGTTTACAGTTTAGATAACTTTTGGAGATGTAGATAAACTCAAGTATGGGACTAGCCAAACCTAGGTCATTGTAGCTTCGCTTGTTGGCAACATTTGATAACAAGGAAATAGTGACATTTTTGCTCTCAGATGGTAGCAGAGTAAAGTCCAAAAGGAAATCTCTTTGTTCTAGCTGTCAGATGGCTAAGTTAGTGTTTTTCTTCTCATGGGCCCTCCTTGAACAGCTTAGCTTGTATCTTTAATAATCACCCTTTGTGTTTTGTCTGCTTGAAACCAGACAACTTAAAATAGTTACCCAGTAATGAAAGACTTGAGCCTTGTGGGCAATGTTATACTCTCATTTGGTATTACAGTTTTCTTGGGTTACAGCTCATTGCCGCAGCAAGTGATTGAAGAAGGAGTCCTGTTCCTGCCCCTGAGCTACAGCTAAGGTACAAGGAGTGGCTTGGGGGTAAGGAGTCCTTCCTCACCAGACATGGTTTGTATTTATTAACACTGCTTGTCAGAAGTTGACATTCTGCACTGATTTTTTTCCCCTTAATTGTTATTCATGACTCATACATTCATTACTGATGTTTATAGGTTTTTTTTTTTTAAATCTAGGAATTTATATGCAGACTGCTATTGAATCTTCTCACCTTTAGATTACAAAATCACTTTAAAGAAAACTAAGAGCTTGAAAGCAGTGAGGGACAAACTCTAAGGTAATAATTTTCGTCCAGTGCTTTTGCTGTATTTGTAGTACAAGTGTAATTTTTCTGTTAAAGATAAAGAATACCTCTTTTTAGTGGAAGGCAGTATTTTTAACCAACAGGGATTATT